TGTTACAGTACCGGGTAGCTGTAAAATCGTGGCTCTGGAGCCAGACTACTTGGCTCCTTCCTTGAAAGCTCCTTCCTGCAACCGTGGGCAGGTGACTTCCCCTCTCTAACCTTAAGTTCATTTGCAAAGTTCCATTATAATAAAAGTCCCCACCTCATAGGGTTGTTGTGAGGATTAATTGAGCTAATGCTAGTAAAAATGCTTAGGCCACTGCCTGAAACATAGCTGCATTTAGCAACAGCGCCAGGGTACTGGTATTTAGTAAATATTTGCAGAGCGAACACATGGGGCAATTTCAACAGACTGGCAGAGGCTAAGGGAATGGGGTGCTTGGGACGTTGTGGTGCCCACAAGTCTGCAGATGGGAAAAGGGGACAACAGCTAAAAAGGGAAAATGGATCAAGGGAAGAATTCACTCAGCCAGGAGACACCTGTGCTTGTCTGAATGCAGATGGGGGATACAAAAGCTTGAAATCGCCGGGCGCAGTAGCTTGTGCCTGTAATCCCAGAACTTTGGGAGGCTTAGGTGGGTGGATCACCTGAGGTCAGGAGTTCAAGAACAGCCTGGCTAACATGGTGAAACTCTACTAAAAATATGAAACTTGGCCGGGCGCGGTGGCTCAAGCCTGTAATCCCAGCACTTTGGGAGGCCGAGGCGGGTGGATCACGAGGTCAAGAGATCGAGACCATCCTGGTCAACATGGTGAAACCCCGTCTCTACTAAAAATACAAAAAATTAGCTGGGCATGGTGGCGTGTGCCTGTAATCCCAGCTACTCAGGAGGCTGAGGCAGGAGAATTGCCTGAACCCAGGAGGCGGATGTTGCGGTGAGCCGAGATCGCGCCATTGCACTCCAGCCTGGGTAACAAGAGTGAAACTCTGTCTCAAAAAAAAAAAAAAAAAAAAAATACAAAACTTAGCTGGGCATGGTGGAATATGCCTGTAGTCCCAGCTACTCAGGAGGCTGAGGCAGGAGAATCACTTGAACCCAGGAGCCAAGATGGCACCACTGCACTCCAGCCTGGGTGACAGAGCGAAACTCTGTCTCAAGAAAAAAAAAAAAAAAGGGAGTGAAATCAAAGGAAAGATCCCATAAAGGACTAAGATCCTGGCGGAGTCGGGCAGTATGGGGTCCTCAGCCAGGGCAGGTTTGAAGGGCAGGGCTTAGGGGGACTATGGGTGGGGATGCCCCACATGACAGCTCCCTGTGTCACTAACTGTCCTGCCACAGGGTGGCTGGAACCTGACAGATTGGCTGCCGAAACCACCTTGTGTAATCCTTCGTGCCTGGGATGGCTGGAGATGTTTCTGTTATTTTTCTGTGAATGAATTATCTGTAGCTGATGGTATAATAGAATGAAAACTAAAACTGATACCAAGGAGTTTAAGTGCTCCCCCTTATCAACTGCTGACTGATAGCAGGTAAAATCACAACCCCCAATTGATAGGCTGCCCAGGCAGTTTGTTTGACTTATTGATTTGGGTGGGTTAAAAAAAGCAAGAGCTGGTTATCATCCTGTTACCTTTGCCCTGCCTTTGGCCCATTTCTGTAACTGTCTAAATTAGATTCGATAGCCTAAGATTGGTGAAAAATGGTTTCCTAGGTTTTCCTGAAAATCTTTCCTGGACACTGAAGTCACAAACCCCTTTCTGCTGATGCACCATACTTTTCTTCAGCTGGGCTAAGTAGGGGAAGAATTCAGTGCAGATGTCAAAACATGCTACTTAAGGGTGCTGACAAAGGGAACTTGAGAATTAACTTCAGGGTTCAAAAGACAGTGAAAGTCATTCAACAAGATCTGATTCCACATGCCCTGGATCTCTGTGGCCTGACCACAGAGGATATACTTAGAGATAACAGACACAGCTGTGTTTGTTATATGCACATGTGGACCCACGTACATTCCACACTTCCGTTGTTCACCCTACAACCACCTTTGGCTTCTCTTGGTTCTTTTATTCTGTCTGTTCCTTTTGTGTAGTCTTCTTCCTCCCATAGAGATTTGATGAGTTGGGTCTTTGTAAAGTGTTTAGAACACAGGCCCGGCACACACAGGCTGGGTGTGGTGGCTCACACCTATAATCCCAGCACTTGGGAGGCCAAGGTGAGAGGATCACTTGAGGTCAGGAGTTCGAGACCAGCCTGGACAATATAAGGAAATTTCGTCTGTACCAAAAAAAAAACAAAAAACAAACAAACAAAAAAACCAGCCGGGTATGGTGGTGCCCACCTGTAGCTACATCTACTTGGAAGGCTGAGGCAGAAGAATCACTTAAACCCGGAAGGCAGAGGTTGCAGTGAGCCAAGACCACGCCACTGCACTCCAGCCTGGGTGAGAGTGAGAGTGTCTCAAAAAAAAAAAAAAAAAAGGAAAAGAAAAAGTGTTTAGAACACAGCCTGGCAAGTGACAGGCACTACTGCACATTACCTGGTGTTATTACTGCCCATCTCCCAGGCCCCACTCCACACCCCTGCCCCACCCACCCCCTTAGCCTTGACTGCCGAATCTTTATCTTCAACCCTGAACCCTCTCCAACTCCTAGTCATTTACGAGGCACCAGGTTTCTGTCCTTTTAACTTCCCACAGGAAACTTTTAATTCTCCACAAACACTCTCTCTCTGTCTCTCAGACACACACACACACACACACACACACACACAAACACCGTTTCTCATTATTTCCCTATTGCTCTAGTCCTTCTAGGCTAGACACTTGCAGAATGTTACCAGGGAAACATGGGCATTGGCCCCTTCAGAAGACAAAGTTGTCTCAACTCTGTGCCCATCCACTACAAGGGGCTAGGGATATCCTAGCCAAAATCATTCCTGAGCTGAGTACTAGGAATGGACTATCCCAAGCTGCAACACCTTGGAAATGGCCACTGCCTCCTAAACACAGAGACACTTCCCCAGGCCAAGTTCCAGGCCCTCCACAGGCTTTGTAAATGGCTGGATCAGTAACAGGAGTTGGGGTGTGTAGTTCAGACAGGAGGCAAGAGAACCAAGTTAAGTGCCCTGAGTTCTGATTCTGCTCTACCACCAACAATTCCTACCTTGCACCATTGTAAAAAGCAAAGTAGGGCCAGGCACAGTGGCTCACGCCTGTAATCCCAGCACTTTGGGAGGCCAAGGTGGGTGGATCACTTGAGGTCAGGAGTTTGAGACCAGCCTGGTCAACATGGTGAAACCCCATCTCTACTAAAAATACAAAAGTGAGCCAGGCGTGGTGGTAGGCAGCTGTAATCCAAGCTACTCTTGGGAGGCTGAGGCAGAAGAATTGCTTGAACCCAGGAGGTAGAGGCTGCAGTGAACCAAGATTGCACCACTGCACTCCAGCCTGGGGTCAGAGTGAGACAGCGTCTCAAAAAAAAAAAAAAAAAAAAAAGCCTTGTAAAAGGTGCCAACCAGGGTGCCTGCCCATAACAGGGATCAGCTCCCTCTCTACCTAGGAAAGTAGAGAAACACTCAGATCCCGTAGGTCTTTTCCCAAATTGCCTGCAGTTCTTATCTATTAGAAAAATAATGCCTACCTCGTGGCACATAAAGCCGTGTGGTAATACCAAGAATGAGTAGCTATCATTTTTTCAGCACTGAAGTCTCCCCTTCCTCATTTAACCCTTCCAACTCCCCTATTAAGTACTACTGTTTTACAAATCACAAGGGCATGACACAGCTAGTGAGCAGAATGGGCTGAGTCAACTGAGCACCAGCCTTCCTCTGCAGTCCCAGCCTTGGGAGCGTGCAGAGCACGAGAGCTTTTCCCTGGGGGCTGGTTAGTAGCGCTGGGCAGGGAAGGGACAAGGCAGGGGCCAGGCATGGTGGCTCACGCCTTTAACCTCAGCACTTTGGGAGGCTGAGGCAGGCAGATCACTTTAGCTCGAGTTCAAGACCTGCCTAGGCAACACAGTGAGACCCCATCTCTACCACAAATCTAAAAAATTAGCCTGGCATGGTGGCATGAGCCTGTAGTCCTAGCTACTCAGGAGGTTGACGTGGGAGGGACTGCTCGAGCCCAGGAGGCTGAGGCTGCAGTGAGCCCAGAGCACACCACTGCACTCCAACGTGGGTGACACAGTAATAAGACTCTGTCTCAAAAAAATAAAATACAAACGAGAAAAACGGACAAGGCAGGAACTAGGAAGGGGTTCAGCAAGGGCTCTATGCCTGGGGAAGACAGGGCAGAGAGAGAAGGAGGAGGGCTACTTCAGTGAAATCTAACCCGACTGCTCAACCAAGCCATTTTACAACTATCAAACGCACTGCTGTAAAATCTCTCCTTAGGCCATAGCTCAAGACTAGGTCAGCCTCAAAGGGGAAAGCAGGCTGGCTTTGCCTGTGCCCTCACCAATTTGCACAAAAACATCCAGATGAAAACCCACCTCCCTCCCCCACAGCACCTCTTTGCTCTCCAGCCCAGAAAGCATTTCTAGAATACCTTTTCTTTCCACAAAGGGAGTGGAAACCCATATAGCAGCTTCTAAAAACCTGGACTTAATTTCCTGACCTTGTGGAACCAAAACTCAGAAGCACTCAAGTACTGCGGCTCCACTAGGATTCTGTGCCTCGCCACCCTGTCCCAATCCATTTGTCCAGGTCCCCCTATTTACCCCAAGGGCCCTCTTCATGATTAAGGGTAGTATCCCTATATGCTTTTTTGTTGAGACAGTTTCACTTTTGTTGCCCAGGCTGGAGTGCAATGGCGCCATCTGGGCTCACTGCAACCTCCGCCTCCTGGGTTCAAGCGATTCTCCTGCCTCAGCCTCCCAAGTAGCTGGGATTACAGGTGTGCACCATCACACCTGGCTAATTTTTTGTATTTTTAGTAGAGACAGGGTAGTTTCCCCATGTCGGTCAGGCTGGTCTGAACTCCTGACCTCAGGGGATACGCCCGCCTCAGCCTCCCAAAGTGGAGATTACAGGCATGAGCCACTGTACCCGGCCCCCTATATGCTTTTCTTCCCCTCTCCCACCTTCCACCAAAATGCAAACCAAACCATGCTCCAAAACAAAAGCCAAATTTATTCAGCAGACATTTTAATTACGAAATCCTAGAAATCAGGACCGCCACAACTTCAGACACTCCGTTGCGAAGTGTACATCAATAGCTACATCTGGAGGATGAAGAAGCCATTGAATCTTTAGAAAACTGGTTTAGCGACCTTAAAGTTTGGGGGTGGCACCTTACAAGAGGGCCGTCAAGTTTAAGGGTAAAGCCAGCGGCTTCTCCTCTACAAGAGTCACATTTGAAAACCGGTTTCAGTCACAAAAGAAGAGCTGGCACGGCAGGAGGAAACCAATTGAGCGGGTGAGGTCCCACCGAGGCCGAGGCCCGTGGCTCCATGGAGGGCCAGGAGAGAGCAGAAAAACGTCCAGGGTTTTCCATGCATTCCTATAGACACCAGGAAGGGTGGAATAAGAAAGCTCAGCTGGGAGGACAAGAGAGAGACTCAAGAGATTGTTTATGACTGTGTCTGAGAAAGCTCCTGGCATGGCCATGAGTGGCCTTCCGGGAGTTCCGTAAAGAGGAAAGCAAACAGGAAAGAACTCTCCCTCCGCGTCCCTCTCTGCCTATTTGTGTCCTCGGGAGACTCCCAGCGGTAGGTAGTAAAGCACCAACGGGGCTCTTCTTGGAGCAAGAGAAAGACAAGATTCCGGGTTCGGAAGCTCTCCCAGGAACCCCACAGCAAACTGTGACCTTGAACCACAGGTGGCAAGGTCAAGTCATTTACTAGTCCACATTCAAATCCAACTCTCCCACCTGCAAAATTCTTCACCTCCCTCCAGTCCCTTAACTAGAGTTCACATCTCTCACCTTCACCAGCCACCGAATCGGTGGGAGAAAGGGGCAATGCCAACCCACCCACCACCGAACTTTTACATTCTTCTCCCCCTCTAGAATTTCTTTGCACAGCAATTGTAGCACCACTTTCACTAAGTTCCTCCACCGGAAAATAACAAGAAACTGTATGCGTGTCGTAAAGTTTTCAAGTACTGTTATAAAGCCATCGCGGTTCCAGCCCCACTGAGCCCTCCTTAAACAATCCAAGCTCACGACGCCCCCAAGGGCTAAGTGAGGTACAAGTCGATGTAAGTAGCTGCCACAGTTCTCCTAGTTTATCCCAGGTCCTTGGCTAGGATAGCCAGGTAAATTCTCATGTCCCAAGGACGCGCTCTGGCGCATGCATTTCTCCACGTTTAAGTTTTATCCAATAGCCTTGCCGGAGCTGGTAACTTCTTGGCTTGAGATCTCTTCCCCACGCGCCAACCCCAGCCAAAGTGGTCGCTCCCAGGTTGGCGACGTCAGCTTCAGCTCAGAGTTGGTAGAAACTAGATGTTGCTGGGTGTAAGCAGCAGCCTTTCTTCCTCCTCCAGGGTGCCTGGGTCAGAGGAAGGCGCCTGATGGCTGCAGGGCAATAGGGTCCGGTCCGCTGCGGCCTGTCCCGGGCCCAGCGGCGCTCGCAGGACCCGTGGCTGCAACCGCGGCGACGGCTCGTTGGAGCCTCCGCACCGCTTCCTTGATGAGGTTTCCCGAGAGCACGAGCTGCTGCAGGAGCCGGTGCGGGTCGTCGTCGCCGGCGCGTGCCCCGGCTTGGGTCCATCGTCGCTGCTGCAGGCGCCGGGAGGTGACCGCGTCCCTGAGCCATCCTCGCCGGCACGGCCCCGGCAGCGCGCTGGGGCCTGCGGCGAGCTCGGCCACGCAGTAAGGCGCAGCGCGGCCCCGCACGCGGCCGCGGTCGCCCAGGGCACAGCGCAGGGCCCCATGGGGCGCCGGGCCCACCGTCTCCGCAGACGGAGGCGGCAGCAGCAGCGGAACCGCCAGGGGTCGCGCCTTGTCCGCCGGCACCGCGGCAGCCGGGGGCCCAGGGGCCCGCAGCGGCGCCCCCGGGGGCGCGCACGGCGAGGCTGGGCTGTCCTGCGCCGCGTCCAGCTGCAGAGTCTCGCCGATCTGGGCCACCAGCCGGTCCACCTCGCCCGAGCTGCCCAGCGTCACCGAATGCTCCAGCAGGAGGAAGCTGTCCTCCTCCTCTTCCTCCCCCTCCGCCTCCTCGCCGGCTTCCTCTTCCTCCTCCCTCCGGCAGGGCATGGCCCCCTGTCCCGGCACCTGGTGCTGTGCGGGTGTCGCTGGAGGCTTGGCTGCCCGCGGGCGCCTGACTGAGGACGAAGCCGAAGCCGGGGCCGGGAAAGACGCGGAAGCCGGAGCCAGCAAGGCACTCGAGCCGCGCGCCTGCAGCCGCGGGAGCCGGAATCCTGCCGGCTCGGGTTGATTTGTAAACAATGGGTGACGTTGCACTGGGCCCTACCACCGCGCCGGGGCGGGGGTGACGCGCGAGCAGGCGAGGGGACGCGGTGCGGAGCGGGTGGCGACAGAAGCCCTCCCGCGTCTCTGTTTGTTGTTTCCGCAGGAGGGGGTCCGGGGCGTGGGGACCGCTTTCCTGTCTCCTGGGCCCAACCAGCTGCGCAAGAACGTGGCACCTCGGAGGCGGCTGGAGTTGGTTTCTCCCACGCACGGACACACCCACTCCCACTCCGGGCCCGCCTCCTGGGCCGCGGCCTCCCTCCCCACGTGTCGGCCGCGCCTAGGCCCGCCCGACTACAGCACCGCGCACCCGCAGTTCCTGACCACGGGCGTGGGGGAGGGGCGGGCCGCCGCGAGTCCGGCTTCGAGGAGGCGGGGCGGGAAAAGGCGGAGGGAATTGGGGGTGAAGCGACAGCACCTTACTTACTTATTATTTAGACGGTGTCTCTGTCGCCCAGGTTGAAATGCAGCGGCGAGAACACGGCTTACTGCAGCCTCGAACTCTGGCTTAAACGATCCTTCCACTGCAGCTTCCCGAGCAGCTGGGACACGGGCGCAACCACCACGCCTGGCTAATTAAAAGAAATTGTTTTTGTAGAGACCCGGGGCGGGGGTGGGGCCTCACTATGTTGCCCAGGCTGGTCTCGAACTCCTGAGTTCAAGGAGTCGTAGCTCCTCATCTCCGAAAGTGTTGAGATTTACTGGCGTGAGCCGCCGCGGCCGGCCTGAGGGAACCCTTTAAAGCAGAGCAGAATCGCTGAGGTGAGGTCCCAGAGGCTTTCCCTCCTGCAGTCTTCAAGTCACCGGGCATATCATGAGACTAGGAATCACCACCGCTCGGCTAAAGAGAAGAGTTGGCCGGGCGCAGTGGCTCACCCCTGTAATCCCAACGCTTTGGGAGGCTGAGGTGGGTGGACCACAAGGTGAAGAGATCGAGACCATCCTGGCCAACGTGGTGAAACCCCATCTCTACTAAAATACAAAAAACTAGTGGGGCGTGGTGGCGTACGCCTGCAGTCCCACCTACTGGGAGGCTGAGGCAGGGGAATCGCTAGAACCCAGGAGGCGGAGGTTGCAGTGAGCCGAGATCGTGCCACTGCACTCTAGCCTGGCTACAGAGCAAGACTCCATCTCAGGGAAAAAAAAAAAAGAGAGAGAAGAGTTGACTTTGTCATTTTTGTTTTGTTTTTTAAGGTTCAAATAGAAATATAGGGGATCGGCCGGGAGCGGTGGCTCATGCCTGTAATCCCAACACTTTGGGAGGCCGAGGTGGGCGGATCACTGAGGTCAGGAGTTAAAGACCAGCCTGGCCAAGATGGTGAAACCCGGTTTCTTTTCTTTTCTTTTTTCTTTTGAGACGGAGTTTCGCTCTTGTTACCCAGGCTGGAGTGCAATGGCACGATCTCGGCTCACCGCAACCTCCGCTTCCTGAGTTCAAGCAATTCTCCTGCCTCAGCCTCCTGAGTAGCTGGGACTACAGGCGTGCGCCACCATGCCCAGCTAATTTTTTGTATTTTTAGTAGAGATGGGGTTTCACCACGTTGACCAGGATGGTCTCGATCTCCTCACCTCGTGATCCACCCGCCTTGGCCTCGCAAAGTGCTGGGATTATAGGCGTGAGCCACCGCGCCGAGCGAAACCCAGTTTCTACTAAAAATACAAAATTAGCTGGGTGTGGTGGTGGACACCTGTAATTCCAGTTACTCGGGGGGTGGGGGGGGGAGCGCTGAGGCAGGAGAATGGCTTGAACCCGGGAGGCGGAGGTTGCAGTGAGCCAAGATGACACCGCTGCACTCCAGCCTGGGCAACAGAGCAAGACTTCATCTCAAAAAGAAAAGAAAAGAAAAAAGGCCAGGCGTGGTGGCTCACGCCTGTAATCCAAACACTTTGGAAGCCAAGGCGGGCGGATCACCTGAGGTCAGGAGTTCAAGACCAGCTTGACCAACATGGTGAAACCCCGTTTAAAAAAAAAAATACAGGGGATGGAAAAAATCTCTCACAGCACTTAAACATCTCAAACATGGTTCACATTTAAATTTTTTCCTCTTCTAGCCTTTGTTCTATGAAAGTGTATTATACAAACACACGCATACAATGTTATACACTTTTCCACTTTGCCTTACATCATAAACGTTTTTCGTGTTACTGCATACGCTTTGAAAACATTTGAGACGGAGTTTGGCTCTTGTTACCCAGGCTACAGTGCAATGGCCTGATCTCGGCTCACCGCAACCTCCGCCTCCTGGGTTCAAGCAATTCTCCTGCCTCAGCCTCCCGAGTAGCTGGGACTACAGGCGCGCGCCACCGTGCTCGGCTAATTTTTTTTGAATGTTTAGCAGAGACGGGGTTTCACCATGTTGACCAGGATCCTCTGGATCTCTTGACCTCGTGATCCACCCGCCTCGGCCTCCCGCCTGTGCTTTTAACATTTGCCTAATTTCACCATCGTTATTGTGTGACTAACATTTTTGTGTGTAACACTTTAAGATATTGATGATTCTTTCTTCAAAGCATATTCCCAGGAGTAGAATTTTAAGTCACAGGAGTTGGGTATTTTCAGGTTTACTGATAAATGTTCAGGAAATCTCTTTCCAAGAGTTAGGTAAATGTACGTCATTCATGTGTGAGCATACATCATTACACCTTCACTAGTATTTGAGTATTATCATTGAATTTTTTTGTGTGGATTTTATAGGGAAATTTTCTCCTTTCAGTTTGCCTATCTTTGATTTCAGTTAGAGCAATTTTCCAAATGTTTGGTAACGAACTGTACTTCCTTTTTTATGAATTGTCTATTTCCTAGGAAGTTTTTCCCAGGGAGTTTTTCTTATGCATTTGCATGACTCCTTTACATACCACAGGTTAACACTTTTCTTTCATATTTTGCTGCAAATACGTCTCCAGGCTCTTGTTGGTTCCATACAGTCATTTTCTCCCCCAATAAAATCACATTTTCTTGTAGGCAAATTTATAAAATCCCTTTGAGATTTCTAACACGATGCTAAATTTGGAGTCTTCTTGCTGCCAGAAAGTTATCGAATATTCCGTTCTATTTTGTTTAGATTTTTCAAATGCCTTTTTTTTTTTTTTTTTTTTTTTTTTTTCAAATTCATCTGGGATTAATTTTGGTCTTTGGTGCAAGGTGATGACATGAAATTAATTTTTTCCTGGAAAGCTTGCCAGGTGAAAGTGTATTTCTTCACTAGGACAGAGGTGTGAGGGTAGCATAAACACAAGCTGTCTGGTGAGTTTCTAGTTGCTGGTTAAGCTGGTGGTTGTGAGGAGTGGGTGGGGCTGGGAATGTTTTGGTCAGTCTGTTGTGTGAAGTCAAAAGAACCCAGAACAGGTTGTACAGAGACCTAGATTCAAGTCTCATTCCTGCCACATCCTGGGTGTGGGACTCCAGGCAAATCAGTTTACAAGTGTTTTCACTTGTAAATGGAAAAAATAATCCCTGCCCGGCCTCCCTCTGAGGATTGTTTTCAGGATCAAATGAGATAATGGGAACGGGCTTTATCAGGCAATACACAAATGTAGGATTAGGTCCAGCGGTTTACTAACAGAGGCCTGGCTCAATTCCAGCAATTCCCCCACCCCGGGGAGCATCTACTATATTAATGTTGAAGATTCCCGAATGCAGCCCACTAGGTGAAACGCACCCTGAAGGTATTACTTCCTTGCACTTGCTGGGTTTCTTAAATTCTGCCGCAGATCTACCCTGACCTGGGATTGCGTAGGGCTTTACTGAAGTCAGCCCAGAGGCTCCCAAGCCCTAAGGTGAGTCCCCACAACTAGTTCTGCAGGTTTGAGTGATGGAGCCTTTCCCAGTGGGCAGCCTCCCACCTCCATCTCCGGAGGGCTCTTCACACACTTTACTGATGAGGTCTGAAAGCCGTTCCCCTGGAGAGACTGATTCTCATTTTCATTCCGATGGTACTTACTGGAGAATTTCAAGAGGAATGAAAATTAGGGGAGGGCTTATGGATTGCAGTAGAGTTAAAATGGTAATTTTTTTCCTCCTTTCTGTAAGATGATGCCTGGCTGTAAGTAGAGAAAAGCAGTTTTATGCTCCATTGACTTTAAACATTAATGGGTCCGGTTTAGCTATTGTCTCTCACCCAGCATCCCTGGAAGTTGTTTTTGTCTTCCTGTCAGGGTAATTCCACTAGTGTTCTTAGTACTATAGGAAATGGAGCTTTGAAATGGCATTCTTTAAAAACAAAACAAAACAAAACAAAAAAACTCCAAAAAAAAACCACAAAAAAAAAAAAACACCTTCCCTTTGTAATGTTGCTTTTGTGTAAAGATTGCTATGTAAATATGCTGGGACTTAGATATTATACTATTCATTATAGAAATGAATTCATTACAGAAGACCAGCTCCATTTTCTGGGGGCACCTCTCTGGAGAGCTCTGAGAGGGAAGTGCTGTGCTGGACCGTGAGAGGCAGAGGAACGCCCTGGATTAGGAAGCAAAATACAAGATGCTAGAAAGGCTCAGATGCAATGAAAAGTAATGAGAGGGTATCAAAAAGGGAAGTGATGAGAACTCGTGTGCCCAGCACACTGGCTGCCTGCCTGGAAAGAGACACTCTCGGAGAGCATTCAGAAACGCCCAGGGAAGAACAGAATTCAAGGGTTTTGTGCATTCACTTAGATTGCATTGAAATTCTCTGCAAGGAGTTTGCTTTCCACACAAACCTTATTTCAAGTTACCTGCCCTGAGAGACACTAGCCGTGGTACAGTGGGATGAACACTAGGCTTGGGAATACCACCTGGATGGGGTCACTTTATCCTGTTGTGCCTCTGATTCCTAATCTGTAAGGTGGGGGATGGTCCCTTCTTTATGAAATGGTTATATTACATGAGAATAGCATGTATGGGAAGACTCATCATGTGGACCCTGCGGGTGGTGTTGGCATAGGCTCTAGGGTGGAGAAATACTTTTA